TTTATGTTAATTTCGGTTGCATTATTTTCTACATTTTACTAACAGGACATCTCTGTCTAAATATGTTACGTTATCCCTCTTCGATGTTGATCACTGGACCTTTGGCTCATGGTTTTCTCAAGATATCAGTGTCATTGTGTTTGGAAACACCTGGCACATTACAGTAGCATTGCTAGGTGTTTGAGGATTGTTGTAGCTGTAATCAGGATATTTCAGTTTGTTCACACTGCCAGTATTAGAAAATAAATTGAATAATCTCTGCATTTTTTTTTGTAGCAAGACACAAAAAGGTTGTATGATGGTACATCACGAAGAATGTTCCTCTTTCTCTCTCTGAACTTATTGAGGTAACAACTGCGTGGGTCATATCAGTTCTACACAATAGTTTTTTGTGTAACTTAATTTTTGAGTCATTTTTTAATAGTGATCTGATTCTGTTGATTCTGTCTACAAGCAATTTTCCTTTCTTGGTAATTCTCCAGCTCTTAAACTTGTGTTGGACCACATACTGTGTAAGTCATGTTAGTGTACTGGTACCATAAAAAAGCCATATATTCACTGTGTTGAGGCTTCTTAATATTGTTTTAATCTCTCTCTCTACTTTATTGGTCTTGCTGGCCAGAATTTTACCTTTGGCCTCCCAACAAATACACATATGACTGTGTTACTTAATCTAATACCCCTACCTCCCCAATGTTAATCTTATAGAGTCTATGCTGTGCTATATGTCATTTGGTCTTCTGATGGTGCTTTGTTTAATGGGACAGTTAAAAGCTAACGTAATGCATAAGGCATTCATGTTTATGGGCTGCTGCTCTTGCTTAAGGCTTCTAAGAGGAGATATAAACATTTTTTCTTAAAGCCTCACTTCATTTTTAAAATCTATAAAACCTCGTCAAAGAGAACAGCACATAGAGACAAGAAATGCATGGAAATTAAACAACCAATTCATTTTACATAAATTGTTTAATCTCCTGGTTATAAATCACAAAAGAACCTAATTTTCCAATCTAGGCTATCAGGTTCGAAACCTGATTCTGTAAACATGTTTTTAACAGAACTCTGAGAATGTGATTCATCCAAAAAACTGCAGTAATCAAAAACAATAACTGCTTTTAAGCATAAACTTTTCAAAATGTTCTAAAGAAGTATGAAATAATAATCTGTGTGTGGGCTGCAAATGCTGAGAATGCAAACATTTCACAATAAAGTTGTTTAAATAAAGACCTTGGCTGGATTGGTGAAAGATAGTACATGCTGTGTTAATTATGCACACTCATAAAAATAAACTTCACTTATAAAATATTACTTTCTATACAGCAGGATTTAACCTATGAAATGGAGGTGTGCTCATCAGATGTGTTATACCATGTATTGTTTTAAGAAAAAAGTCATATAAAAGCTAAATACTGTATGTTCAACAAAGAGCCTTGTGTTTAAGCTGTATTTAAAGACTTTCACATTTTTCTCTACCATTGTACTGCTTCACATAAAGAAAACAGTTTTGTTAAGTGCTCTGTTTATTATTCTTAAGCTGTGTGAAAGGTAATATGCTTAAAAAGGAGTAAATATGTTGGTTTAATTTAAAATGACCATTACGCTGTAGAGTATCAGTGATTTTACTTAAAAAATATTTTTCCTAACCTAACTTAAGTTTTTACTGCTGGGTGGCCCATTCCATTTGTCCCGTTAACATAAGAATAGGAGTTAGCTGGTTTAAATTATTCTGAGAAGCAGCATAGCAGGGGCTGTTGTTATCCTTTTAACATCAGGGTTTTCTTTCAAGCGAGTTCTTTATCACAATGCAAGGAGCAGGACAGCAGTTCACTTGATCACCAAGTTATAGAACACACAGCCCTGACAAGACTCATTTCTAAAAGTGCTGGCAATCTAAATGCACAAGACAAATGCACTAAGTATGTGGATCCTGCTCATACTAAACAGAAACATGAACATCAAATTGCAGCACTGTCTAACTGTAATCACATTAAGCCCAAAACACTAACCTTTGTTCTTGATTAACATTAACTTACCTTAAAATTGACTCATGTTTGATGCATGAAATATTTTTGTTCTGCAATTTTGAGGTCAGTTGAGGAATTCAGTTATGAATAAATGTTTGGATAAAATTTTGTTGGGAATAAACTGTGCTTATAGACATCTGGATGCTATAAAATGGCTTTTATCTAAACAAAAAGAAATCCCCCAGCCACCCAGACACACACTGCGTTTACTACTAGTACAATATTTTCAGAAATAATATGTTGACAAATATTTTATAGCAGCATTCTTATGTTTTCCAAGGCACTGGTTCAAAAGAAAAAATCTTCCTAGTTTATTACTTCTAGATGTTAATAGATTTATCTGTAGTGATATTAGCTGTACTTGTAAATGAATTGAAGGGGCCCATTTTTCCTTAACACTTCCTGTGTGGAGGCAATACAAACCACAATAAGCCCACATTTTGAGTTTTTTTCTTAGTTGTTGAAGCTTGTTATTAAGAATATTTGACCCAGGCTGACTAGGTAAATTCTCCACTAAACACACTTTTTATTCTGGAAAGACAATGCAGACTAGCATTCGATGTTTAAAATGAATCATCAGTCATAGCTGCACAAAAATAGTGTCCAAGACTGATAACAAAGGCTACTTTTATTATTATACAGTACCTAGCTTGGAAAAGCCCAGTTTACCACTGAGAGTTCTTCTTTGTCTTTATTTAATGCCACGGACCAATCAAATAAAACAAATATTAGATATTTTTGGCAGCTTTGGGATTTTCTTGTCTTTTGCCTGAACAATAAGGATTTGTTCTGTACATTCTTATTTCATTTTTTTGTTTTCACTTTGGTATCATCTGGATTTCTGCCTGAATCTATGAGATGAGACGATGGCAAACATGCACATGGTGAATAAATATGTAAATAATAAATCATCTAAATGTAAAATACTGCAAGTTTCTTTCTTGTATGTTAATTAGTGTTTGTAATCAATTGCTGATGTTACAGTGTGGGTGAGAAACAGATGAAGGATGGGACTGGAGTGAAACACCTATAGATTTATCTGCTTCTTAATTCTATTTAAACAAATAGTCTTCAAGCCTGTGAATGCTGTGTAGAGACATGCTCTGAATAATAAGCATCATAAAATCTAATCAGATTTATAAGAGGAATTGATTGTTGTGGCAGGAGGAGAAGGGTTGAAAATAAGCTGAAATTTAAGTGTTAATTTTTATGCTAATCCGCAGTGGCTCCATATGATGCAATTTGGTTCTGTGCAGCAAATATAAAATTGTCCCTTGCAGAGAAATGTCAGCTTGCCAGACCTGAAAGCAGTAATTTATTAGGTATGTTTCTATTAGTATGTGTCACAGTTGTTAGCGGGCTATACACACAATGGTGCTTCATACTTACGCTGCTCAGCCTTAAAATGTTTCAGCTCAGTGGCTGGAACACAGGGGCATTAATACATTATCATATATCGGGTGGTCCCTGCCCTCTGGACAAAAGGCTATTTAATACAATTTAATGACATTCCACAAAGAAGAAGGAAATAAAAGGCACACAGAATAAAATAGCATCTGTGTTTCTCATGGTGCACTCATGCAAACATTTCAGCTTAAGACGTATGACATTTCTGCCAGAAAAAAAAGAAGAATAAAACTGGGGCATTCTTTACAACCTGCTTCAGACTGCAGCATTTTCCAAATGCTATTAAGTGATCGATTTACACATCCACATGATGATGTCATCTATAAGGAGCAGAATGCAGATGACAGCGAAATACCGGTGACAGCGACCTTGTTTCAGCATCTCTGAATCCCTGTCAGATTCGTGACAAGTGCATGCTTTCTGAGAATTCACTTTTTTTTCTTCTTTTCGTGAGTGTGTGTGTGTGTGTTTTGGTCTCTGGATCCAGTTACTGTGTAGTAGTGTATTAATAGAGTTAAAGGTTTGGATGCAATTCACATATAGGTCAATTAAATGCACCAACATCTGCTCTTCCCCAACCATTTGCATATAGCATTCATATGTTAATGATGCCCCTTGTTTTTTTCCGTTTCCCCCCCAACTCAATATTAAAAAGACAACAAATTTTGTATTCATACTAGTTGTGGAGAGAAGGAAAGAGTCCATCCTATTTTTATTTTTTCCGATTCACAGTGGCTTTAAGGAGAGTTGCTTGAGTAGTAAACCAAAAGGGTGCTGTATTAGAGTGTGCCTGTGATTTATACAAGAAGCCTTGTAGTGGGAAAGCTTCCATTCTAAAGCAGCTTAAAGCCTTATAAATCAATAATGACACAGATGGACTGGTGATAATCTATTTAGAATGCCTGATAGCAAATATTGTACAGATTATTAGAGTAGTAACTATTTTAGCAAGTCAGCTCCTCGTCTTATGTCTTTTTTAAGTGTAAGTTTTTATAAGACAAAAAGTGATCAGACTTCACAGGCTAGGTGGGAAACGGAGCCTGCCATGAGGAATCACACAACACAGGAATGACAGCGTGTGCAGGGGGACAAAGAGTGCAAGAGAGTAGTTGCCTCTGCCAATACAATAATAACAACCCATGTTTCTTTAACAAAAAAGGGACCTCTTAATGGAATTGTGTCTTGAGGTGTAAATAGCACTGAAGGCTGCCTCTTTTATAGTCTATGGCCTGATTTAGCACAAGGAGTGAGAAAATAAAGTGGAGGTTGTCAGAAGTGGCAGCTGCTTGGAATCCTGATAAATATAAGCTTTTATTGATCTGATGAAAATGAAAGATCCCAGTGCTATGCAGTATTTAGCTTCTTGTCTACAACACGTCACCGGTGGCCTTGCTTTGGGATAGATTTTCATTCTCGCTCGCTGGATTTGATTTCATCTTTAACCTTTTCAGTTGAATTTCCTTGACCTCTGCATATTGCTGTGATTTGGTGAATTTGTTACATTTCACTTTACATCATCTCTCTCTATCCCCCCCCCCCCCTCCCTTTTTTATCTTCCTTTTGTGTTAGGGAAGTGGGACGCCCCCTTTGGCAATCCGTCAGTGCCATCCAAGCTCAGCTGCATCCTCTCACTGGGTATTTTCTAACCAGACTGACAGTCCTAAAACAAGTATGCAGTTAGTGTGTTAAGGTAAGATACTCTATATTGGTAACATTTCCACCTGATATGGCAGCCCTTTTATGGTTGTGCACTACTGAATAGTATGGGACATTTTGTTTTTGAAATTCTTGTTGTTTTCATTATTTTAGATATGTGTATAATGCAATATTATATACATCACCTTTACCTGAAAAACATAACGATATCCTGATGCAAATGCAACTGAAGTAATGATGTTCCCTTAGGAACAGAGATTTTTTATTAACCTGATACCCACAAATTCAAAATTTAAGTTTTCCTGATCATGTGGTTGACATATACACACACATGTATATAGAAAGTGTGCTGTTGTTGTAGATGTAGAGCATGTCTGTTTTCATTGTTTTTCAATCTTTAATCAATCACTCATGTCTTCTACATTATTAGACCATCCATTGTATTATATTCTTCTCTGGCAGAGAAAAGTTCGTAATTTATTTGACACTGGAAAACAAGTGACAGACAAGAGAATAGGAAAGTGTGCATACATTTTGTAAGAAAAAAAAATTCAATTAATGTTTTCTAGATAGACAGATGGATAGAAGGACAGATATTAAAAAAAAATCTACATCACTCTCGTTGTTACATTGTAAATTCCCAAAGAGGGCTTACTGCAACAGCTGTTGGCAGACAGGGTAGGTATGAGAATAGCAGCATAAGATGAACAGGCATTAAAAATTTATATGCTATTTAGCCTAGGTGTATTTTAGGTATTTGACATTTTCATGTCCGGGACAGACTACATTTATTCTTTGAACCAAAAAAATTAAAATGGTTTCAGAAAGCCGTAAGTATTAACTTTCCTGTTTCAGCGGTTTCCCTTCATATAGCAGACGTACATATAAGCTTTAAAGTCACAGTCAACAACAAAGAAATAAAGCTCATTATATGTTGAGTAATAATTAGCGTGAGGCACAAAGGAAATGATTTGCTTATTAAGCCGTGCATATTTTCATCGTAACGCTAAAAAACAATGTTATTGAAAACATAAATTTTTTTAAATCCCAGGACAAGACAGTGAAAGTGGTAATCCCAGTACTCAGTGTGATTAATTACTAATGCTCCGCAGAACATCTCCATATCCCACTGAATCTAATCTCACTGAAATCTTATACATGTCCTGAACGGAAGGAGTTAGCCATGGCTCTTCTGCACTTTGCAAATGAAAACTTGGAGCATATTTGTTTTCTCTAGCTGCAGTCAAACCTGTAAACCAGGTATGACACAAAAATCTTTTCTCCACTCATGTCTTCAGTACACTCTTCTGTGTAGTAATATTATTAAAATAGGTAATCCATTCAAGCAGGGGAAAATGCTTTACTATGATTTTAAAGACCATCTTCATATATATTAGCTCCATTTAAGATAATTAAAATCAATCCTTAATGTTTAAAAAATAACTTGCAAATAATCTTGTTTTTTAATCAAACCTTTTAGATCTCTTTAGAACTGGCAAGTAGTGACTATTCCTTACTTCTATAAAAGCTGAAGGTTTTATTTAAAGCAGTTAAAGAGAGAAGAAGGTATGCCACACTGTAGTCTACTCATCTTCTTATGATAGTGTGAATAATTGATATGTGGGCCGAGGCATCTTGTCCCTTTAGATGTTAGGGGCGACTTATCTATACTTCTGCACTGATTTTTCTTTTTCTATTATATTCCTGAGATATTAATGGTGAGTGGTAGTGAAAGAAATGTGTTTTATTCCAGCGCCTAACCCTGCTGTTATCAAAGTAACTTCCAGCTTATTAGCGACAAAGGACTTTTATCCTTTGTGCTGCCCTGTACGCCAGTGCTTCCTGAATTAAACTGCTGTTTCCTGTTCTTTATATGCATGACCACATCTGGGTAGCTTGCTCACAGCCCTGCTGCTTAATAACAATCACCTTCCCTTTCAGTCTCCGTTGATTGTTTCTAATTCACTCTGACAGATAGTGCCTGACAACTTGCCTGCATTTCCCTCCCTCCGTGACCTGAAGTTACTCACAGCACTTATATAGGCTGTCATTTTTAATATTTGATTTCATTTTAAGTTATGTGTTTTACTGAGATGATGAAATCAGTGTTTAACTGAACATAGAATGTTTCTCTCTGCTTTATTCGGCCAAGTGAGCTGAAAGAGATCAGAACCGTATATCTTGCTCATTCGTATCTCTATACTTTATGCACATTTATTTATTTTTATGTGGCATTTTAAGAAGAGCCTGAGATTTGAAGAAGATCTGAGAAATATTCTGTGAAACCGTGCTCCACAGCAATGCGTGGTATTTGATTCACAGGCTTCTTTTACAGTGCCGCTTTCCTTTTCATAGCATGGCTTATCCAAATGCTTTATAAATTGGTCCACAGTGGGCTTGATGACACCATTAGCAGGTTACCTACTGCACTGGAGTGCATCTGACATTGGGGGCTTTTGGTCAGCTGGCACTTTACCTGTCCACACACAACAGATAGGGCAGGTGAGCAGAGGTTTCTTTGATGCTATGCACGTAATTATTCATCAGTACCGTATCTGAGGGATTGCAATACAGTGTAAGGCAAAGATATATGCTTGTTACACCTACTATCCTAGGCTTTCTATTATTATAATATAACTAGTAAACTTTGTGCTATTACTGTATTTATATGGAAAGTTCAATAGATGTCTATATCTAGGTGCTTATACTGTTATACATATTCTAGGTTGCAATTCAATTATGTAATCCTAACAACAGCTAAGAATTTTCCAAATGTAACGTTTCTTTAGAAACAAGGTTAATGTTGGAGTTGATGTCTAGAAAATCCGGCCTTACACAAGTTGTCTTTTTTCTTCTCAAACAAAGCAACTGTTTACAAACAGTTCTTATATGGATGCCATACATTGTTCAAGAAGAGCTGCATTTTTCTTACAAGTGTTCCTTAGGCATCATTTTCCGGGAAATTACCATTGCTTCTTCTGCACTTGGGACACCATCTCAAATATATCCATTGTGAATTGCTTACATTATCTTGTTTTAGGGCACACTGATGCCTTTGGCATGCCTGATTCCATTTTCTAATGATAAAACAGAACTAATTGGAGTACTACCGCATGTTTTCACTAAAGGCACAATTTAATTACATTTTAGCTGGGAAGAGCATTTTGGGAAATTATATGTTCATTCAATAAATAGAGCGAATGAAGAGCAATATTTATTTTGCTTTGATTAACAAATTGGTGTTGTAGTTCTTTTTTTTAAACGATCACTTCTTCCTTGTCTCTTTGTGTCATTACGTGGTGTCTTTTCAATGTTCCATCCAAAAATCTAATTGAACTCTTGTGCTAGTTCTTCTAACATTGGACTTTAATCACCCCACAACCTAGCCTTTCAGTTTTAATGTTTATAAATAGTTTATTAATACAGTATATTTAAAATAATTTAACCAAACATCTTCTATTTGATTGTGTGAATCATGAATTAATTTCTTTGTCCTTAACAAAGCGTGATTAATACACGTTAGCCAACATATTGCGTATTCTATTAATAAAACCATCTGCGTTAAATATTAATGGTTTTGTAAAGAAAATAACAAGTTATTAAGCTTCTGATTAACAACTTATTAACCTTTTTAAATAAAAATGTCATCTATGTGTGGAAGATGAGTAGGTTACTTGCATGTTTAGTTGACTAGATGAATTCTTTCTTCGTAAATACAAAAGCCAGATAAAAAGGGCATAAATGTTTTCTGTATATAAAATTAGAAGCTTAAAGGTCGCAAAGAAAAATGCAGATAATCTAAAATTTCAAACATTCGCAAAAGAATAAAAATGTAGTAACAATTAAAGGGGTAATAATCAAATATCTGTCTGTTCTAAAGGGCTATTAGCACCATTTTTAAAAACACAAAATATATCTGAAGTCAAAGGACAAATACTTTGCTGTATTATGTTATATTTCTATAAATTCTGTAAGTCTTACAAAGGGCTGATTATTCAACAATGGCAAGAATGATAAGAGGAAATCATGGTCAGGATAATGCATTAAAGTTTGTAGTAATATATAGCAATAGTTCATTAAGGGGTTTGTAAATACAATTACAGTTTTGAATTTGAATTACAATACTTGTGATGCGGAACTTTGACAGCAGTTGCTACACTAGTTAACTGGAAGCACATTTTTTCAAGAAGAAGTTTTGTATGACATGTGAGTATAAATAGTTTAAATACGGGAAGCATCCACAGGGCTCTACATACTAGTCTCACTTAAAAAAATAAGAAAAAAAAGGGAAAACAGATGAAGATGAGGATTCAGCTCCAGTCTTGAGCAGAGATGCCAACTCATCAGGCTCTGGAAATGAACTGTCCCTTCAGTTTTCCTGTACTGCATCATGGCATCATGAGCTCTAGCTAGAGTTTGTGCTGTCTTTTAAAGTTCTTTTAATTTAATTCATATCTTTGTTAAACCATTTTTTCTTCTTTCTTTGTTTAACAACTTGAATCCATCAAAGTCCTGTGTTATAAAAGAAAACAACAATAGCCCTCTTTGTTTAAAGATCTCTGAGAGGATAAGCATGCTCAGGATAGTTGTTGTTTTTTTATTGCAAGTCTTATGATGGATTGATGCTCACTCAGCAGGGTGTCTTTGTTCACTTTTTATTCCAATGGCAAATTTCACCTTCATCGTCATTCTGCTGCCCCAGCTCACATTGGGCTCATATTCTTTGCAGTGTCTGCCATGGGATTTTTCACATGAAGTCACATATTCATTGAAAACAATTATCTTTGAACTTGCTTTTAGTGATGTTTGTCCTAATTACAGATCATTTTCTCTGTCAGCTTTCTACTTTTATTGCAGTTTTGCCCTGAATGTTGATCCTATTGAGGTTCAACCTTATTTTATTCACTGGTACACCCTTAAGACCTGGATTAATGAAATATTCCCTCATGTGTTTTTGCAGTTTCAAATGTGATTTTTTTTTCAAAAATAATTTTGCAGTATTATCCAATTGAATCAATCTCACACTCTATAATG